GTGGGGGTGGGGGTGGGGGGTGGAGGCACGAGGACCGTCACTTAGAATTACAATAACATTCAAAAGAAAGTAGCCCTCCACCATGGTGGAATAACCACAAGTGACTGGATGAACCACTTCATGTGGGGTACTAATTGGGAGAAGATGTGACAATCTGATCTGACCTATAAGCATCAATGTGCAATCTGGATCAAATCCGCTCCAAACTAGATTTGATATTCAGTGAAGCCTTTTGTTTGAACAATAAATGGCTGATGTTAAAGGCACCGAATTCATCACCTACCTGCTAAATCAGGGCTGAATGAATCCAGGTTCATCTTGGCAGCATTTGACTCCGCATAATTTTTGTAATGAGAAAGGTAAGTAATATGATAAATTGAAATAGCTTCTGAATTGATCTGATATTCTTTTCTGATCTGAATCTGAGATTCTTTTTCTTATCTTATTTTATCTTATCTTATATGGACGATGCCTTCTGTTCAAATTGGCTCTATGCATATCTGACCATGTTAAATATTTGCAAGTTTGAAATAATACATATCTGAAGATTTGGTGCCAAATGCCGAATGTAGATCACATACGGCGCTGAAAGTACGGGTATGAAAACATCTGACTTTGCATACAGATCAGACTAAAGGTATTAGCAATTAGGCATGTTGAAAATGATTTCCCCCTCTATATTGAAATGTTTTCAAAATTATCAATCTGGGTCAAATCTGGATTCAATTTGGTTTGATGTTAAGGTGTCTGACACCGTGGTATGAAGATCTGGATCAGTTTGAGTTGGCAGCTTTTGATCCTGCATGAATTTCAGAAGAGTGACAAGGAATAGGACAAGGTAAAAATGACTTTTCCCTGTTAAATTGAATGCTCAATGCAGTTCAACTCCGGATCAAAAGAGGCTGCAAATCACGTCCAATGAACAACCCTTCATATACATTAGGAGTTTTGTTCAAATGACAAAAATATCTCACCATGATAAATCACACGTTTGAAGATGCCACATTCAATCGGAGCAACCGACTTCAAATATGGGTTGAGGTAACAACTTCTGAGATGTTTTTATATATCGTGAAATCCACTGGAATCAGTTGCTGTATATACTTGAGGCTTGAGGAGCCGACGATGAGAAGAAAGGAGCGTTAGCGCAGAGCGCCGATGCGGATGTGGAACCGGGAGTCGCGGCTTGGAGTTGAAGCGGATTACGTGGGACAGGAGTAGTGAACTAATCTCTTTTTGTCAATGGACTCTACAGCTTCGTGTTTGCTTTCAAAACTTAGCTTGTAGCAGACGTGCACATTTTCAGCATGACGTCTCTGATCCACTGGTAAAAGGACACTTTCATCCTCTCCTCTTTCATCTATAACTGCTTCAGACAACAAAGTGTATGCAGGAAAGTGGTGAAGATTGCACGACTGTCTGTGTCCTATTTGTTGTGTTGTGTTATTTTTGTTATTTTGACTTCAAGATGGCGCCGCGTGAGTGGCTGCCTTTCCAGCAGCTCCTATATTTTGTTGTTCTACTTCTTCCATTCATAACTTTGCTGCTGTGAATTTGGAATTTCTCCATTGCGAGACTAATAAAGGTTTTCTTATCTTATCTTATCTTATCTTATACGGTGCAAAGGGAAAGAGAGAGAACTTGTTGGATGGGAGTCAGCACACACCCGCCACCATTCAAAGTGCCTCTGATCAACCGCAAATACATTTTAGGTGATTTACTGAAGTTTTTTTTCCTTTTTTGGGGTACTTGAAACTGATCACAATTCCTTCCCACATGACTACGACCTCATCTTCAGCTGAAGCAAACAGCCTCAAATCATAATGTTGCCACCACCATTTTGTTAGGGAATACTTTTAATAATGAGCAGCGTTGTGTTTCAAATCTACCTTTAGGAACTATGACCAAAAAAGTTCAACGTTGGATTTAGAGGTGTCAAATCTAGTTCCAGAAAAGTAAATCCCTGCCACAGCTTGGCTTAAGCCACAGGTGCTTCTATTCAACAAGCTTGTTTACCAGCAGTTGAGTAGAATCACCTGAAGCCAAAATGGCAATGTGTTTTTCTTTCCGGACCTGAATTAGCCACCTCCGCACCGGGCCCAAATATTTGAATGTTGATTTTCTTTGTAAGAAAATACTTCTGTCTCACCACTTGACCCCACAGCCTGAGATGATATCTTTCGACCTTGCACATTCACATTTTTCGGATTGGATCCCGAGCAGCCAATATCATGTTTTGAAACTATACGGCAGATGGATTTAAAGGGATCTTGGAAAATCACCTGTTCCGATTATGATTTGAATCTCGTTTTGGGCATCCTTGGCGGTTGTGACATGATTATGTGAAATCACTGCGCGTGTGTTCACCTCGCAGGGAATGTTCGTCTTGGGCCTTCCGTACGCTATCCTGCACGGGGGCTACCTGGGCCTCTTCCTGATCATCTTCGCCGCGGTGGTGTGCTGCTACACGGGCAAGATCCTGATCGCGTGCCTGTATGAGGAGGACGAGGACGGCCGCCTTGTGCGCGTGCGCGACTCGTACGTGGACATTGCCAACGCTTGCTGTGCGCCGCGCTTCCCGGCGCTGGGCGGCCACGTGGTCAACGTGGCGCAGATCATCGAGCTGGTGATGACGTGCATCCTGTACGTGGTGGTGAGCGGCAACCTGATGTACAACAGCTTCCCCAACATGCCCATCTCGCAGAAGTCGTGGGCCATCATCGCCACGGCGGCCCTGCTGCCCTGCGCCTTCCTCAAGAACCTGAAGGCAGTGTCCAAGTTCAGCCTGCTGTGTACGCTCGCCCACTTTGTCATCAATGTGCTGGTGATCGCCTACTGCCTGTCGCGGGCGCGGGTGTGGGCGTGGGACAAGGTCAAGTTCTACATCGACGTCAAGAAGTTCCCCATCTCCATCGGCATCATCGTGTTCAGCTACACGTCGCAGATCTTCTTGCCGTCGCTGGAGGGCAACATGCAGAAGCCCAGCGAGTTCCACTGCATGATGAACTGGACGCACATCGCCGCCTGCATCCTCAAGGGCCTCTTCGCCCTGGTGGCCTACCTGACGTGGGCCGACGCCACCAAGGAGGTGATCACGGACAACCTGCCGCCGGGCATCCGCGCCGTGGTCAACATTTTCCTGGTGGCCAAAGCGCTGCTCTCCTACCCCCTGCCCTTCTTCGCCGCCGTGGAGGTACTGGAGAAGAGCTTCTTTCAGGAGGGAGGCCGCGCCTTCTTCCCGGACTGCTACGGGGGCGATGGACGCCTCAAGTCGTGGGGCCTGAGCCTGCGCTGCGGCCTGGTGGTTTTCACGCTGCTCATGGCCATCTACGTGCCGCACTTCGCGTTGCTCATGGGTCTGACGGGGAGCCTGACGGGCGCGGGGCTCTGCTTCTTGCTGCCCAGCCTCTTCCACCTCAAGCTGTTGTGGAGGAAGCTGCAATGGCACCAGGTCTTCTTCGACGTGGCCATCTTCGTCATCGGCGGGATATGCAGCATCTCCGGTTTCATCCATTCCATGGAGGGGCTTGTGGAGGCCTTCAAGTACAACATTGAGGAGTAGACTCCGAGCCAAGCTCAACCTCCGGCACGCCTCCTCCTCTTCTTCCTCCTCCTCCTCCTCCTCCATGCCCTCTCCCTCGTCCTCCTCCTTCTCCTCTTCTCGCTTCAGTTCATGCGTAAAAGCGCACGCTCGCAACCATCCAGTCTTGCGCACCACCCCGCTATACTTCCTGTCACGAGGCCTTGCATTGACATACGACAGAAATATCAGAAAACACAATAGTCTGATGTGGGTGTACGTAATAAATTGGCTGTGTGAATCTAAGACCCCCCACCAATAACGGTTATCCCCGTAATCTATTTGACTGATACGTTCTCATTTCTTGAGGGCGAGATGCGCTAAGATTATTCATCTGGGCTTTCCTTTTTCTCGCCTTGTAAAAGCGCGTGCTCCCACCTATCTAATCTTGCGTATGTGAAAAAAAATCAATAAAAATTAGTGTACCTAATATACTGGCAGCGTCCACCCATGGAAAAACAAACATTATCGTCTTCTTCCCCTTAATCTGCTTGATTGACGCTACCATTCAATACAAATTTATTTTCGGGCATGATCATAAAATGAATCATCCGGCAGTCCCCCGCTTCACGGTTCAATTTAAATACGCACGCTCGCAACCATCCGGTTTGCGCACCACGCCGCTACGCGCCCTCCTGCTCAGAGGCCTTGCGAGAAACAAACACAATATGCATTCGTCTGATGTGGGTGTGCCCAATTGGCAGTGTACATCTATGAGAACAATCAATAGTTTGGCTTCTTCCTATTTGTCTGCTTGGCATATGAAGTGCGAATTTCGTTAAGGCCTGTTGCAATAAGATTAATCATCCACAGCCAAAAATGTCCAAATCCAACGGCAATAACCATCAGTAGAAAAATAAGCAGCTCTGGAAAACAAATAGGTGACCACAGCAAAATAATTTGTCTCATTTTCCGATCTACAGTTTGAGTAAAATCAACATTTTCTTTAGTTTACGAACATAACTCTCAATTTCCAAATGTAGATACTTACATTTGGAACACTTATTTCTTGCGGTCAATGAAATATGGTTAGAATACCCCCCAAAAATCATTTTTTGGGGGGAGGGGGTCTTTTCAATTGCTTATTTCCAGAGTTGGAGTTTATTTAGTCAACAAAAAAGTAGGAGATTGGACCTAAGCAGCTACTCAAACTATGCACTGAATGTATGATATTTAGCTCGCACACATGCGCATGCATGCGCTCGCTCTCTCGCGCGCACACACACACACACACGTACACACACGCACGCACGCACACACACACGCACACGCGCAACGAAAAGAAATAAAAGTTAGAAGGGGATACAGTATTACATTAAAAAAAGGTAATCAATTGGAAAAAAATACTTTTTCTATATAGCTTTGATTGGCAGTTCCCAAATCCCAAACCTCCCTCTGCACATACAAAATGCTGTTTGTCATCTCATTTCAAACACGTGGCTTGCTATAACATGAAATGATGAATTTGGTGTATGCAAAATCTTAATTTAAAAAAAAAACGGGGAAGAGAGAAAGAGAGGAAAACGTGCATACGGACATTTTTCATTCTGTGCAATCAAATGGGGTCCTGTGGAAATGTTATTTCAAAAAAAAAAGAGACGAAAACAACAAACGTACTTGTAGTGTGTTTATTATTGTGGTTTCAAAACAGATGGAATGTATATCTCAAAGTCGTTATCATATATCGTGGAAATCAATATTAAAGAATAACAGATGAAAATAAGTGAAATTATATTGTAAAAAAATCATGTGTGGTCTTATGTAACACTAAAACGGTCAAAACATGTTTTTTTCTCAGTAATAAAGAACAGAAAATAATGTGAAAAGTAGTTGCATTCCTTTATATATGTGTGTGTGTATATATGTATATGTAAATTGAATCCTTTTGAGAGACGGTGATAAAATCTTGAAACAAAATCCATAATCTGTTCCCCACTTGGATGTACGGGCCATTTAAAAATCGAGAGAAATATGGACGAGAAAAATCGGTCAAAACGACAAAATGCATGTAATTCGGTAAAAAACGAATCTCTTGGCTTTACCCTCCGAAGAGAAAATACTGTATACGTAAACGTCTTTTGAAAGTGCTGAGAAAGGGGTCAAAAAGAATGAAAATCAGTGTAGGCCGTTTCACCACCTGGCCTTGGCTTTTTAACAGAAAATTAAATAGAACCTGTTTTACCTCCGTGATTTTATGACTTTAAATCGTGGTTTTTTTTTCACTGAAACATCTCACACACACACACACACACACGTCTTTACATTTAGAACACAAATCAGTAAACGCCTGTTCCCCACACGGTGCACCCATGCGTCAGGTGGTTCAGATGGAAACAGTTCAAGAACGAGCTGCTAATTGGTTCAGAACCTCCGCTGCGTTCGGAAATTAATGAGGGAAGCACGCTCAGCCTGGCGTTAGAGTAAATGTCCGAACGCACTCCGAGAGTTTTTGTTTGTTGTGGGGCGGAGGAAGTGGCGGGGGGGGGGGGGGGGGGGGGGGGGGGGTGTTACTAAAAATCATTCACATTTCTATTGTGTTTTGATCTTGGCCTCCCAAAGACACATTTCTGTAGTTGAACTCGGTAATGCATTATGAATTCGAGTAGGGAGATGAGGTGAGAGCAACCATTCCCTTCTCGCCCCAACATCTCCAAAAACAAGTCACAAATGACGAACATAGTTCTGTGCTGCATTGGGCCTTGGTCACCTGCGTGATAAAAAAAAAAAAAAAAAAAAAGCAGCAGATTTTGAACTCCGAGGACGCCCGTGAACTGCAGATCGAACTAGTTCGTGCGAGGTGTCGATTGTATCGTGTACAAACGTACATCGTGAACAAACGTTCATTTAAATGTGCTTATGTATACGTATGAATGTGTATGTAATGCCTTTTACAAGGACAAGTCACTTGTAACAGCACTTCTGAAATGTCAGCAGTCGAACGTGGCAACAACCATTTAACTCAAGTGTATTCACTTTTCAACAACAAAAAAATCAAAATCCGACACAATAGGAGGAAATTAATACAGAGAGTGCGTTCTTAGGTTTCAACACTTTTATTGGAGCTACAAATGCAATTCGAGCACAAAGAGACAGCGGGAGAAACGCGTCACAATCCGTATGAGCGATAGTGTTGCACTGGCGGCCCCTGCTGTCCAAGGACAAAAGAGCACTCCAAGAAAAAAATCTGGAGGGCACTAGGGGGGAAAGTGCAGGTGGATAATTTATTTTATTTCAAGTAACGACATCTCAAAAGTCAATAAAATTCTTAGTTATTAGAAAAAAAAACAGTGAAATATTTACAAGAAAAATGGAAACGGGAAGAAAAGCGTGGCTCAAGTTGCCTGTACACAATTACATCAGCATGAAATGATTGCATTACTGTCTGGTCTCTTCCGTGGTGTGGGTACTGGGTTTCTTGGTGGAGTTTTGGACCACCCATTGATGAGAGAGAACCCCTTGTATGGGCAGTCTCTGCGCCGGGTTGTGCTTCAGCAGGAGAGAAATCAAATCTTTGGCCAGCGCGCTGACGCTTGACTGCGACGGGTACGAGTACTCCACCTGCACCGGGAAAAGTGATGGCAAAAGATGAGAAATACGCACGTTAAATAACTTTAAAAAAGAATTTATAGGCCTGACGACCAACTCATCAGTGAAGAATGGTGGTAGTACTGCCAAGTATGTGTAGCATGCTGCCAATGGAACTAGTTTCCTAGTACGCAATTTAATGATGAGGTTATGAATGGCATACAATAATAAGTTTGGCCAGGTGCGTACCAATACATGGTTACATCACAAGAAGGCATGCTCAGTTCGTGCCTTACCGTTTTTGTTGGATTTTTAAAAATTATTATTTATGGCATAGTACAGTGTAACCTTAAGTTAAACATAATTGGGGCTGTGAGCTCGTTAGTAACTTGACATTCATAAATCTAGATGATGTTTCCCATTGAAATTAATGGAAATGTAACTGTTCCAGCCCCAAAACTAAGTTGTAATTACCCTTTTAAACCATTGTGAGGTTGAAATTAAATATAATTCTATGTAGAAGTGAAAATACATTATTCTGAAGAAATACAACTTCAGAAAAAATGCTAACCATTATTGTCATTAACTTTGACTTATGGGTGGCAAAGGTGACAAACTCCTCCATTGAAAAAGAGTCTTCTTCCATCATATATAACTCATTAACTTTGACTTATGGGTGGCAAAGGTGACAACTCCCCCATTGAAAAAGAGTCTTCTTCCATAATATATAACATGAGGAAATTCCGATTTAAGTGTTTTCCCCCCCTTCTGTGTTTCTTTTCCAATTCATTAGTTAATGTGGCATACCAATCAAGTGAAACTTGATCTTGAAACTTGGTGGGGGGTAAAAAAAACCTCAGTTGGCTGTCACATTGTCATTTAAAACAGGGGTCCTCAACCCCCTGGTAGGTTAGTGCTAGACTCCGTGATAAACTGAGGCCACCCTGTACAGTAGCTTGCTACACAAGTTTGTCCCTATATTGCTGTAGACAATAGGGCTCAACCGATTAATCGGCTGGCTGATTTAATCAGAGATTTTTTTAGCATATTCCATATAGGCAAAAATCAGTTTTTTTTTCTCAACACATTAACATTACAACACATCGTTGAAAGACGAAGTCAACCCAAAAGTCTTTTTGACAATAACATGTTCTATGCAGCCCTACAAGGCATTCTCATGAATTTTGCCTGAGTGGAATATGAATTAAGCAGCAAAATCCACCAGTTTTTATCCATATAGGGCAGGGGTCGGGAAGTCCAGTTCCTCGAGAGCCACATCCTGCCTGTTTTAGATCCTTCCCTACTCCAACACACCTGATTCAATAGTTCAAGATTGTTTCAGGCCTCTACAGGACTTGCTGATGAGCTGATCATTTGAATCAGGTGTGTTCAAGTAGAGATGGATCTAGGACAGTCAGGATATGGCTCTCGAGTAACCGGAGTTCCCTTCCCCTGATATAGGGGGTGGCCATTTTGCCACTTGCCATCGACTGAAAATGACATCACAGATGCTCAGGGCGCAGCTGTTTTCTGAAGCAGATAAAAATGGGTGGATTTGCTAGCGCATACAACATATTGTGAAGAAAATTTTAACCCCCCGCCTCGAGAAAAAAAACCCCACTAAAGTAAAATCAATTTCTCTCAAATACTGTACTTCAGGACAAACTACCTGTGATTCATATTTTGATTGTTGAAAGTGTTTCAATTTTGAAATGGCCATTGAAATGTTGCTCTACCAAACATCGGAATCGCCTAAATAAATATCAGTTGACCCCTAGTGAACTTGATGCCTTACCCTAGATATCCTACGATACGTGTCCTCGTGAGACTTGGTTTCAAATGGTGGTTTCCCGAGCAGGAATTCGTAGCAAAGCACACCAAGACTCCACAGGTCCACCTTTTCATCATGGGTCTTTCCTTCGATCATTTCGGGGGGCAAATAATCCAGTGTTCCACATAAAGTCGACCTCCTGCACCAGGAAGAGGGGGATGTGTGCGTGTGTGTTTGGGGAGGGGGTCAGTCATATGGCACCTTAACACACACACACACACACACACACACACACACACACACACACACACACACACACACACACACACACACACACACACACACACACACACAAAAAAGTAGTAGCCTAAGGAGCACCTGGATGACGGCGTGTGAACGGACCAACCAAAGTCTGCGATCTTCAGCTCGCCGTGGGCGCCCAGCAGGAGGTTCTCAGGCTTAATGTCCCTGTGGATCACCTTCCTTGAGTGACAGTAGTCCAGGGCGTCCGCTAGTTCCATGATGTACTAGAGTAGCACAGTGATCATAGCCCGTGTTAGAAAGAGCATGCCTTAGATACCAACTACACCCTCCCTAGAACCCCCCCACCCACACAAAATAAAAATTACCGTGGCACTGCGATCTTCAGAAAAAAAGCCACAGCGCTGCAGCTCACCAAAGAGCTCGCCCTTGGGGGCGTACTCGAGAATGAGGTACACCCGGGAATCGTCGTGGAAATAGCCATAAAGGCGCAATATGTTGGGGTGCCTGCAGAGAAGCATTTGTAGTAAGTGCAGCAAACTCTTACTTATCATCAGGGATACGTTTCAGACGCAATAAGCCACGCTCGAGACCGTGAGCATGATAGTTGCAAATGCGGGCTGTTTGGCAGTGTCCGCGAGTAAGAATTTCTTATGGCCGTATTTAATGCTCCCACCAACACAGGCACTGCGGTCAAAAGTCACCTTGGTCAGTCTTCTACAGTTTCTGCATTGTGCGTACGCCGACCTCTTAGGACCACGGACGTGCACGCTGTTTCATTCATAAACCATTTCAGGTTGTCGTTATAAGTTCCACACTTGCATGTGATGAATGACATCCGCCCAAACATATGAATATAATCAATGGAAACACCGGCGTCTCCACATAAGTGTGAGTGATTCGAAACGCTCGGCCCCATGAAAGACCGTCTGACATTTCGATTGGCCACATTGAGGTTAAAAATGGCCATGCCGAAAGGTAATATGCGTTTCCATACATTAAAATAATGAAATATGCTTTCAAAAGAAATCATTGTAGTCGGGGCTGGACGATTCATGGAAATTTTAACAATGACTTTAAAATCACTCTCTTTAAAACGTTCTCATCAAAGAAAAATGATTCACGCGAAAGAACCTGAATGCACCATGTTGCTTGCGCAGAAAGTGTGTAGCCTATGAGATTCTGCTGTCCCCGAGTGGGCTTCAAAATGTTTGATGAAACACGCAACAAATTACACATACAAAACATGCATCGTTTTCAAAATCCTGTGACTTTTGTTATCGTACCAACACACAGTTCCACATGACGTGGCATGAAATACCGTCCCTGAGATCCCAGGATAAGCCAGTAAGTGCCAAGACTTGTGAAAACAACATAAGATGAAATAAATATATTTAAATTCTGGAATAAGGTTGAATCAAATGTGGAAAAACGGAAGCGCTTTGAAAACTTTCTGGATGCATTGCGTCTCTGCTCAACTGCAAATTCTGGTTACTTTGCTATTGTAGGAAGCTAACTCCTCTGTAAACCGAGGACGATTAACAACACACAAAGAGTACCGGTCAGTCAAGGAACAAAATGCACCATTCTGTGACCCTCTGATCACACCTCTCAGAAAAAAAAAAACGTCAATTCAAATTATACTTAATTTTTTTTTTTACCTGAGATGAGACTGGATCTCCACCTCTCTCCTCAGTTGGTGCTCCACACCTGCCTTCTCCAACTGCTTTTTGAAGAGCACCTTCAGGGCCAGGATGAATTTGGTCTGGCGCTCTCTGGCTAGGTAGACGTTGCCAAACTTGCCCTTTCCCAGTGGCCGGCCGATTTCAAAGCTGTCCAGACTCCAGCGCTTCTTGCTCCTTCCCAGAAACAAACAAGTCTCAATAAGGTACAATAAATTAAAATGCCATGTTAATGCAGACAGACGCACTTTGATGATGTTGAGTCTGCAGAATCTTTCTTGGGTGGTTTGTCTGATAAAAACAAAAGCACATATTTTGGCAACGGTACACCACACCACCTAACATTCATTTCACATGACCCTACTCTGTGGTATCTCAGGTTTTACAGCTTGCGTTGCAGGTTTTGTAGATAGCACTATAGCTGGTTTAGTGGCTCCTACAGCAGGTACAATAGCTGGTTTAGTGGCTCCTACAGCAGGTTTTGTCATCCCCAGGTTCACTTTGGGTTCATTCATCTTGGGCTGGCTTCGCTGGACAGCAAGTTTGGGCTGCAGATTCACATTTGTGGTCGCCGGTTTGACATTCTGATCAGCGGGTTGAGCAGACCTGGTGACACTGGGGAGTTGAGGTGCAGACTTATTGTGTCTTAACGGCTGCACGCAGCGCTGTGGCCCATTAGACACTGACAGAATACGTTGCGGTTGGTGGGACGGGGCTATTAAATGCTTAGAAGCCATATGTGACTGGTGGGAGATGGGGATACGCATTGGTCCGTCTTCTGCTAGCTGGAATGAAAGGAAAACACAATGAATTGTCAAAAAGACAAAAAGTTGTGATAGACTCATTCTAATGCACAGGAAGTGCGATGATGCTAACCCACAACGAGTCTCATCTGCTTCCTCTACTGGAAGTTTTCATCAAGCTGCTGCTGCTTCCTGTCAAGCCAGTTGGCTATCTGCAAGAGCCCGAGGCTAGCCACTCTTGGGTGTATAGCAAGGTACAGTTTGCCCAAATCTCAGCACATCACTCCCACGCTTCCCAACATACCTTGGGAAAGTCCTCAAACTTCTCCCAAGGACCTACAAAACCCTCTACGTCTTTGCATCACCTTTGCACCTATCACCAACCCCCTCCATTCCTTCACCCATGCCCGGAAGCCATCCCACCTCGGGAACTATCTTCCGACAAAAATCTATGATGCGGCTGGTATGAACAATAAGAAACAATACCAGCTGACAGAGCGACATCTATCTTTATTTGTTTTCTTCTACTCAAGTACAATGTGTGACACCATTATCCACCTCTGCTCTTTTATGCCTTTTAATGTTATATTAACTGTCGTGGAGGCCATGTTAGCTTGGCAATGCAACTTACCTTCATTTCAGGCCTCTGAACTTTTAGATCGTTTTGTTGTTTGACCCTGGCAGCGGTCTCCATAGTCTGATAAGGGCAGAAAACAAAAGTACAATAGTAAATTGTAATTATTTTTGCGCGTTTGCAAAGTCGCCGTCTCAAGAGCAACGACTTGACGCTACCCGTGCATCCTGCAACACCGTTGGCGTTATATTTGCGGCTAAAATAAACTAACAGTTTTTGTCCCACAATGGGGGCAGTTCATGAACAATACAATAAATGGTGTAACAATTTAGAGTAGACCAAGCCAAACTTACCAAAGTGTAGGAAATTACACGACGACCCTGAGGAACCACTCCAGAAAACGATCGATGGTACGCAACGTTAACCTCGTTTATGTTGCAATTCTTTCACTGCAGCGGACAGTAGGGATCGAGTAATTCAAGAATGATGTTACGCTAGGCGTCTTGAAACCTCAACGCTATTAACGCTCGTCTCTTGAGAGAGAGAAAAAACAATGTGGCGTCCGAAGATGGCTCCAAACATAGCCCCGATTCGTTAGTTTAATTTCAAAAATCCCTCGCGTCCGAACCTTTAAGACTATAACGCGCTTCTATTGGCTGAGAGGAAGCACTGCTCGCTTCCTCATTGGCTGACAACAGTTCGAAATGTGACGTCACACATTGGAGGTGAATCCGAGAAAGAAAATGAACATGTCAGCTGTGTAGTCCGAAAAAGAACAATGACGTGAAATCAATATTATGACATTAGCATCACGATTAAGATATACAGTAACTCATTGTGGTGATATGGTAGAAAGTTATGCGCGAAGTAAAACCACGCGAGACTTGAGTGCAAGATGGTGTGTGATTGGTGGATAATAAAGACGTGTGCGGGATTCGTGTGTGTCGTCGAAATGTAGCGTATGGATAACAAGAACTCGTTGAGCTGGTAAAATAAACCGCAAAACAGTCGTGGTGTTTCGGGATGCTCCAGTTTGTTTTGTTCATCAGAATACGGTCGTCAAGACCGTAAAGCAAAATAATCCAGGGGGAAGTCTGTCAATCTCGCGATATACCCAGCTTCACGCAGTTTCCGGCTGTCCGTCGGGCCAGCCGCGCATGCGCGACACCGACATTACGCGGGCGTTGCAGCAAGTAATGGTTGCTCCTAAAGAAGTAATATCGTTCCTTAATTTTGATCGAAAACAACGATTATCGCCGTTACGCGTCTCTTAGTATATTTTAGAGGCGAGGTGTATTAAGAAGTTTGAAGGTGTGCAAAGAGGCTCGTGGAAGCCCCCACGGGACACACATAGAAGACAGAGGAGAGAGCGAGAGTGCGAGGCCGCCATGAAGCTGACGGACAATGTGCTGCGGAGCTTCAGGGTGGCGAAGGTTTTCCGGGAGAACACGGACAAGATCAACTGCTTCGACTTCAGCTCCAACGGAGAGTCGATCATATCCAGCAGTGACGATGATTCGCTCGTATTGTACGACTGCCAAGAAGGGAAGTAAGTCAGACGGAGTCGTTTTCCGCTCCCAACAAATACACGCATTCTAGCTGTTTTGTTAGCTGACATGCTAACGCTAGTTAGCAGCCACGGCCTGTGATAATTGTGTGAAGGGCCACTTACTGGTTTAGGAAAGTTTTTTAAAAAAGCAATTGTGTGGAAACATTTGATCAATAAACGCAGTTATCATGTTACCCTTGCAGCACATTGAGAAATGGGTAGCTCTTCTGCCTTGTAATTCTGAGGTTATGGGTTCGAATCCGGAAATGCTTGTTTGTCGACATGGGCCCTGCATATGGCTGGCGATCAGTGTATCATGTCTGTCTTCATTTGTCTGATTTTTATTTCATATACAACACTTTGTATTAAACTGTGGTTGGTTTTAAAGTGATCTATAAATTGCATCCAGTTCAATATCCAGCTTCCCTTAAGTCAACTGTTGGAAACAACATAAGTTGAACAGAAGATGGATGACTGGACAATGTTCCTACCGTTCTCATCGTTTTCTCTCTAAATTTGTTACCAGACCCAAGAGGACCCTCTACAGTAAAAAGTATGGAGTGGATTTGATCAGGTACACACATGCAGCCAACACAGTGGTCTACAGTTCCAACAAAATTGATGGTATGTTGATGCAAGTTTGTCTTTTTTATTATTATTGGAAGCCAAATGTGTGAACTATGATTTTTTTTTTGTTTTGCTTTCTTAAAGCGTTACTATCACCTGACATCCTAATGGTGGAAATATGGTATGTCCTCTTAAATGGCAGCCACCTTTCCAATAATTTAAATAATGGGTCCTTCCATCCACTGAAAGGAGATGTATTATGCATATTTTTATACTTGTTATTTTGTATTTACCACGTGTGTATGATGAATTGTTACTGTTGTTTTATATGAACATTGTCTCCATTTATTAATTAATTTATGAAAATAGCAACCATGAAGGCAAATTCAAGGTAATAGCAGTCTGTTTCAGTTTGCCTCGACTGGTCATTTGTGTGTGGTTTGATAAGTCTCAAATTGGCCGACAATTTCAGCTGGGAGCAACTCTATCGATTTTAGTTTCCCCACATAATATGAGCAATAAGTGCAGCGATTAAAGTTAAATGTTAGGCTAGAGTGTGTGCGCACATGTGTTTGTATGTGTCCCCAGGATGCTCGCCACACGACTGCTCGCTCTGGCCTGAGGTAGTTGTTTGTACAGTTTTTGGGTCTATGATTGTTCCCCACACTGGAGCTAACTGTACAAATGACTGCCTTGCCCATGTCCGAGCACACTCATCTCCACTGAGCAGGCCTGATTTTGTTCATTAAATATGTCACATACGATGTATGATGACCACTCTTACCAATGTTTTTAAATTTTGTCCTCTCCAAAGATACAATCAGATACTTGTCCCTTCACGACAATAAATACATCCGCTATTTCCCTGGGCACAGTAAAAGGTGAGTTCTGCTTGTCTTGTCTATTTTCCCCCCCCCCCCCCCCCACCCCAGTTGGGCCACATTGATTTCATTCACTTGACTGTTGTCTTCAGAGTGACCTCCCTCTCCATGTCTCCCGTGGATGACACCTTCATTTCTGGATCTCTGGATAAAACCATAAGACTGTGGGATCTACGCTCACCTAACTGCCAGGTAACCCAGGAGTACTATGAATACTTATTTTTTCACTCTCACAGTTTACCGTAGGACGATTAATGGAGTACAATGCATAATTCGCTGACTTGACGTTGAATTGAGGTTGGCCTCACCTATCCATCAGTGCACAAAAGCACAATGACAGACATGGATGGGAGCGCAGTATTCAATTTGTCGTGCTTCTGCACACTGCTTATATTCACCCTGTTACAAGGTTTTTATAAAGTAGACTACTATAGTGAGACAATACTTGTCCTTATTGAATACACAAAACACAATTTTGGATGAAAGGGTTATTGGCATTTCCATTAAATTCAGTGGGGAAAGATGTCTTAAGTTGAGTGTGGTCACAGAATGAATGAAACTGGTATTTCAAGGCACCACTGTATTGGTATACACCCTTTGAGAAAGTCAGTTTTCTCTCCTCTGTCCCCTTTAAAGTACCGTGTCGTCCACCTGTTGTCACGCGCAGGGTCTCATGCACCTCCAGGGGAAGCCGGTGTGCTCGTTTGATCCGGAGGGTCTCATTTTTGCGGCGGGCATCAATTCAGAAATGGTCAAGCTTTACGATCTGCGGTCATTTGACAAGGTGAGCGCACGACTACGCAACGTGCAGTGACGTTGAGCAGCTTCACATTCATCCTTCCCATCGGTCTGCAGGGTCCCTTCGCGACCTTCAAGCTGCAGTACGACAGGACGTGCGAGTGGACTGGACTCAAGTTCAGCAACGATGGCAAACTCATCCTCCTTTCCACCAACGGCGGTGCCCTCCGCATCCTAGATGCGTTTAAAGGGGCCGTGTTGCATTCCTTTGGGGTGAGACGCACACGGCCATTCGCGTTGTATTCAGCGCAAAAGTCAATAGAACGGGCACTTCCTGAAAATAAGCTGTCAGAGAGCTATTGATGGAACAAATTCAATTTGTTCAGTATTGTTTCTACTTTACAGTGCAACTGTAACATACTGAGTGTTTCTATGTTAACCAAAATGTTCTTGATATGATATTCAGGCTCGACTAAAAGTGGGTAATTTAATGTCCTCCTCCAACATTGCATCATCCCTCAAACCAATTTCAGTCTATCAGTCTCAATAAAAGTTTCAAAGATGAGCTCAGACATTATAGATGCGACAAACAAAAGTGACGATTATGAGATAGCAGGGGTGTCAAGCTCCTTTTTTTTCGTGGATCCATCATAGTTATGGTTTCCTTCAGAAGGCCATTGACATGAAACGAATAAAATGAAGGATGTTACACACAACAAAACTGGTGAATAATATCTGAAGATTTTTAAAAGTGAATTTGCAATGTTGTTGTTTTAGCAAGAAACATGAAGTCAAGTCACAAAATTTGCTTTTGTGAGCCGCTTAAAATAATATGGCAGGCCAGATTTGGCCCCTGGGCCTTGAATTTGACACGTGTGCAATATAGGGTTTGACGCCAAGGAGGAAGGTTTCAAAGTAGACTTTAAAGACGTTGTGATTTTAAAATGGGGTTTCAAGTAGAGATAGACCTGTGTGTGCGTGAGTATCGATAAACAAAAAAAAAAAAAAAACGGGTCCTCAAAGCAGAAAGATTATCTTAAGGATTTTGTTGAACTGTGGTACCTGAATAACTCAAGGACTTGTTTCTGCCATAAATCAAAAGCTAGTCAGAATATTTGACACTTTTTTACACTGGTTCATACCTGGTGCTTCTGCTTCGTCACTCCTTAAAGGGCCAGCACACACGCACTAAACCAGAATCGGGGAGTGACAAAAAAGTCCCGTGTCACTTACATTACACAAAGAGAAAAGTACAACTGAAGTGTGTTTCACTCTTGTAATTTCTTAATTCAAATTGTAAAATGTAGTTTTCAGTCTGTGAAGAGGAAACGGAGCAGAGCGATCGGCGCTACTAAGTGTTGTGTTTCTGTGTTTGCAGGGATACAACAACAATAAAGGTGTCACACTGGAGGCCTCATTCACACCCGACTCTCAGTTTGTCGTCATCGGTAAGTTACAGTCTGCGTAGCCCCTCACGCAGAAATCCTACAAACATTGAAACAATTTATTAAAAAAAAAAAAAAACAAGATTAAAACCCAGTAAATATAATGTGTCGTAATGTTGGAATTTATTGTAAAATATTCCAAAAAAAATAGTTTAAAATGCACAGAAGTGAACCAATCTCTCTTTTTCGCTAATGGATGCTACAATAACATGCTGCTTTCAAGCTGAGCTTGTAGCCGACGTGAGCACATTTTGAGCGTGACGTCTCTGATCCACTGGTGAAAGGACACTTTGATTCTCTCCTCTTTCATCTCAAACGGCTTTAAACAAAAAAAGTGTATGAGGGGAAAAGTGGTTAGGACTACAGGACTGTTACGTGTTGTGTTTTTTTACTTTATGTTAACTGTTTTGTTAAGCGCTTTGTTACAGCTGCTGCTGTTGTGAAAGCGCGATATAAATCAGGATGTATTGTATTGTATAAAATCCCATAGAGAACATTTATTGAAAGGTTTTAGGTTTTCATTTCTTTTTAAATTTGAAAGAACACATGTGAAACCGTTCATTAAAAAGGACAAAGCTTGTAAGTAAATTTTAATCCATTAAAAAACAATCAATGAAAAATGAGGTTTTATTTAAAAGAAAATCTGCATCCAATTGACATTTTCAAATGATAGTGGTGCCTTGTGAAACAAGATGGACATTTTGTTAATCTGTTCCAGCGCCTATTCTCAAAAACACCCATGTTAAAGTCTTTTAAATATGTTTTTTTTCTCAAGACAAATTGCACTCAACAGCTTTTAACTGGGGAAAAAAGACACACAGTAATAACACGTAGTCCCCACATCACCCGCAAATGCAAGCTCAAAGCATAACCGTACCTAATGTATTGGCCTTACTTGTTCTTCTGTCGAGTCTATTGGCAGTTGGCAAACCAGTCATTCATGATTTGCCTACTCATCGTTGCATATGAGCCAATTGTTTATAGAGTTACGTTTCCGGCTGGGCTCAAATTTATAATTGTTTGTGTCGCAGGATCCGAGGACGGCAAGATTCACGTGTGGAACGCCGAGAGCGGCATGAAGGTGGCCGTGCTGGACGGCAAGCACACGGGGCCCATCACGTGCCTCCAGTTCAACCCCAAATTCATGACATTCGCCAGCGCCTGCTCGAACATGGTGAGCAAATGCTGCGCCATCACATGCTCACGCCCGTGCGCTTCGTGGAATGTAGAAGCAACACTGGTTTATTTGTTCCCGGAACACTGGGGACAAAGGGATGAAGCATGACATTCAGCTTTAGGGCATATCAGACGACACTTTTTGAATGCTCGTAAAATACAAATGCACACAAGTGGCTTTAAATTATATCCGCTTGTCTTTTCAGGCGTTCTGGCTTCCCACCATAGATGACTGAAGTGCGAAATGGCGCCAGCAGGGGGCGGCATGCCATCTTCTGTGAGCCAATACATTGTAAATATGTCGTGTGGTAGTACATTATGTGTCCATTTTTTATATATATATATATATATATATATATGTATATATTTTTATTTTATATTAAAAATTTTCCATGGAAACGTTTGAGTGTTTGTCCACATTTTTTAAATATTCTCCCACAGTTTTGATTAATACTTGGAAGAATGTAGTTTCGTTAAAATGGATGTGAAGAATTTATAGTCTCACCTCAATTGCTTTGGGCTTCATAAATGATAAGTCCAATTTATACAGTCAAAAATGCCTAAAAGTGGAACTCTTTAAGAGATCGCCGGAAGGTTCAACAATTTCCAAATATGGTATTGTTGTACCTCCTGTTTCAATTCAAATCATCATGTAACGCAATTAAATATCATGAGCATAATCATGAAAGTCATTTTTAATTGCTTGTGCTAAAAATAACCTAAAACAAAACATTTAACAAGAATAGTCAATTTGCCTTGATTCAACCTTTGAGAATGACCATGACCTGGATGACTGATAATCTACACATTAAGAAAAATCAAAATGTTTAGCAATATCTTTCAATTGATATTGTGACTAAGTTAAAAATGAGTGAAGCAATTATGATATTTAACGAACAATATCGTGTCTTTTTCTGTTTCACCATAATTCCAAACTTAAAATATTATGTAAAACAAGTACTGTACTAATGATGCCAAACCAAAATATGTGTGTGTGTGTGTGTGTACACACACACACATCCATAACATTCGTATTCTGATCCGCTTCATCCTCACAAGGGTCGTAGTGGGTGATGGAGCCTATCCCAGTGTCTTCGGGCAGTAGGTGGGGGACACCCTGAACCGGTAGCCAGCCAATCGCAGGGCACATTGAGACGAACAACCATTTGTGCTCACATTCACACCTAGGGACAATTTCGAGTGCCCATATAACCTACCATGCATGTTTTTGGAATGTGGAAGGAAACCGGAGTACCCGGACAAAAACCCACGCGGGCACGGGGAGAACATGCAAACTCCACACAGGAAGGCCCAAGTCCGGAATGGAACCCCAGACCGTGGCACTGTGAGGCGGATGTGCTAACCAGTCAGCCACCGGTATACATCACAGTGACAATTAGGCTAAAGCTTGACAATGCTGATGATTGTCTTTTTTTTTTTTTTTTTTTTTTTTTTTAAAAGCTTGCTCGTGATTATGCTGCAGATCACCAAATCTAATGAATTTCATGTCGGCAGACAATAAAGGAACCAAAGATTGACACAAGCAGACTATTGTTGCTGGCGCATGACTTGTAATGTCTCTTCAACATTCTCCCAATTTATTTCCATCTGGAATTTTGGCTAACTTCAAAAGAAAAAACCTCGCTAAGCCATCACCTTAGCCTTGAGCTAAGGTTTATGTGTCCCACTGATCCTTGGAGTTGACTTGTCTGTGGCTTTATACCCCTGGCAGGGTCACCAATGGCAAACAGGTTCTAGGTGAGGGACCAGAAAAAGCATGACTCAAAAGAGCCCTTTGATGATTCCAATACTGAGGAAATGTTTTCCCTTGTCAGGACACGGTTCACCAGGGACCCCCTTTTAGAGCTAGAAGGCAGAGCAACAAGGTGGCTGGGCCTGCACCCATGGGTAGTGATGGGAAAATGAAGCTTCAAATTTGTTTCCTGAATCTGTTGTTTGGTATCTATCTATCTATCTATCTATCTATCTATCTATCTATCTATCTATCTGTGCGTGCATGTGTGTACACAATATTTCTAATGGAAAAGCATGTCTAAACAGGGTTGTGACTGCATATGTACGTCACCTGCCCCTTCACTTGTGGTGTTGGGTGCATGTTTTTTTTCACGGGTCAGCACCAAGACTGGACCATCAGTGGGAGCTAAATTTGGTAGTCAGGGTGGGTGATCATGTTCCCTATCTGTGTGCACACGATACTGTCCCAGTTACTTGAGCGATGTCCTATCTCGCACACCCATAAGGTCTCTGATGCCCCTGACAGCTCCACACAACTGTATTTAGACATTTACAACTTGAAAGAGTAAATCGCAGACTTAGGATTGGTTTGTTTTTTTAGTTTTTTTTTTTTTTTGCTTTCTCGTGACTCAAACTGACAGTTTCGTGGGGCCTGCCAGGAGGACGACCCTGCTACTTTCTTGCTGCTGCTTGAGCCGCCATGTTTCTAGCCCTTGTGGTGACGCCAGAGCTGAGGGAGTTTCTGGTTCAGGCAAGAGGAGGAGCGGTGCGCCTCATTAAGGTGCGCATACAAGACGGTGAGTGACCCTAACAACACGCTACTGAGATGACTGAGATGATAAAATTCTGTGTTGGTTGTTTCACTGGCTTTGCGTCTCTTTGTGATTGGTTCTATATTGTTGTCGGTGTTCCGCCTTGGAAGTTTTTCAGTCAGCAATTTTTGCATGAACACATGAATTTTAGGGGGCAGGAATACAACATCCAAAAGGCTCTAAATATCCAGTTACATAAATCAGCCGCCGACACACTTTTGACCATTTGACATTGGGTTTACCTATCTACCGATAATAGGACACCTACTGCCCGGAGACAGCTGGGATAGGCTCCAGCTTGCCCGCGACCTTTGAGAGGATAAAGCGGATTAGAAAAATGGATGGATGGATGGATGGATGGATGGATGGATGGATGGACCATGTGGCAACCCCTGACTTGAAGGCACTAAGCCAAAAGTTAAACATTTTTATGTTTTTCTATGATATTTAAAACATCTCTTGTTGCCAGTCAACTACGGATGATTCGGATAATATGCATATTAAAATAGCAAAACAAAGGAATACATGGAATAAACTAAAGCATTATTCCCATAGTGCTTTGAGTACAATGGTGTTATAATCATCTTGCTAATCATTTCAAAACAGGTTGGTTTTCAGCGAAAAAAACATGAAAAGACGATGATGATCTGATCTGACACTTCTAAGGAAAAAAAAAACCCCACAAACATAAGATTTGGAGGCAGGAAGGAAAGGAAGGGAAAACAAGATTTGGAGGCAGCTGCTCAAGTGTTAAGTAGGAAAAGGTTGAGTGAGGCCAGTGTTTTCTAGGTATGTTCATGTGGTGTGTGCATCTGACTCTTCCGTCACACCACTCGTGACTCTTGTTTTTTTGTACGGACCCTTTTTACCATTCGTGACATCACTCCTGTGCTTCACCTCTTTTTTGGCCGGGTCATGTGAACCAGTTTCTGCCCGGTGGCACATATTGCTTTGACTACTTTTCATCACTGACTCATTCATCACTGACTCATTATTGACCCTTGTGCAATCAGAGGCAAGGATAGGATCACCTATGGCCCAGCTAAACCATGATTCTTATGATCCTGATATAAATATATACCGGTAATATAAATCTTAAAATCTTGTTCTGTAGTTGAGTATGAAATTCTAACATATGGTATGTTAACATACCCCAAGATAGCATTGTGAGTGCAAAAAGTGCTGAGGCAGATTGGTAGGGATTTTGCATCATGTTACGTAGTAAGGTTTTATTTAAATGGAGAATTGATAAAATCCCCGTGTGTTTGGAGTTGAAATCTTAACACATCGCAAGATAGTAACCTGATTGCAAAAAGTTCCAAGGAAGAGTTTAGGAAGCGTTTTATATCCTGTCCTGTGAATAAGAACTGAGAACACACTAACAGACAATTTTCACGACCAAAATTAAGCATAACTATCTTTATAAAGTCAATATTTTGGACTGGATCTCATTCACTGTTGTTCCTAATGTGGTGGTCATTCACGAGAAGTGTTGTACTCACATAACAAAGGCATGGTTAAAGAAGGATAGTTGGTGGAAAATATGCAGAACAGGAATTTGTTACCCTCAGAATAGAAACTGCAGGAGACTAGTCAGCAAAGCCAAGCAGTATCCTGCAAGGACATGGATTTAGCTTCATTAGCTAGCTGGACGATGGCCTGATGAAGAGAAAATCACCAACATGCTACACTAAAAATTACATTAGCTCGATTAATGATTAGCTACTGAGCAGACCAGTTTTTAGACAGAAAATGTCTGAAATGCCATGTTAGAAATCACTTAGCAGCATTAGCTTGATTGATTAGACAGACAGGCAGGCAGACAGACAGACAGACAATGTAAGACTGGCAGGGACAAATAAACAGACATAGATGAATACACATATGGACTGACAGATAGATAATAAACAGATAGAGATGGATGGACACAAGCAAGTATATTGAGACAGACAGACTGACAGATATGAAGGAGAGACGACAGGGATGGAGGGACTAGCGATGGATGGACAGCTCAGGGACAGACAGACAGGTAGAGCGAGACAGACAAGGCCAGCCTATCGTGGCATTAGCCGAATTTGCTGGCTAACAAATACCGTCCGTGGTTGAGAGAAAATGGCCACCACGTTCCACCAAAGAAACAAACAAACGAACAAAAATACCATATACCCCGCATCGCTATCCAGCAAGTAGATTGATGTCGAGAAAATGGTTGACATGTTTCTCGAAAGAGCAAAGCGACATTAGTTCACATTGCTATCTAGGAGATTGACTGATGGCTAGAAAATGGCCGATGTGCTATGCTAAAAGGCAAAGCAACATGAGGTCAATTAGCTATCTGGCAGATATTGATTTGACATGGCGGATATGCTGCACTAAAAACAAAGCAAAATTATCTCAATTTGCTGGCTCGACAATAGCTAGCTAGATAGATAGATAGATAAAAGGTTGCTTCAAGAAACTAAACATTACATCATCCTGTGAAAGTGTGTTGTAATGCAAGGTAAGGAATGTAATGTCCGCCTGGTGTGACTTTCAGAACAGCTGGTGCTGGGGGCCTACAGGGAACCAGAGCAGAGCTGGGACCTGGATTACGACCATTTCCTTTTACCTCTGCTGGACCGGCAGGAGCCCTGCTATGTGCTCTACCGCCTGGACTCCCACAATGCACTGGGCTTTGAGTGGCTCTTCTTATCCTGGTCACCTGATGAGTCTTCCGTATGTTACAGACATCACCTTCATCCTTTCCTGATAAACACATTGACAGGAGCAGGCAGAATTTATGAGGCTTGTCCACAAAAAGTAATGCGCAGCGGAAAGTTGAAATGTTAGGGTTTTTGATCTGCTGCTTAGCGAAATGAGCTAATCAAAAATACTAATCGCTTTGCCTTTTAGCAGAGCATGTCACGATCTGATATCTAGCAATTTGAGCTCCTTTGTGTTTCCATTAACCTGTTTGCATTGCGTGTGTTTTCAACTGTGATTGTGCGTGTAACCACTATGCTACATGACAAATCATCAACTGATCTGTGTGAGCAGAACAACAAGCAGCTGACTGTTTGCATCACAAGCTATCATGGTTCTTGGTGATATTAATTCAAAGATCTCTTTTGTAGCCGCCAGTGTGAATTACTGATAAAATGTTGTTCTGTTCTATTGTCTAAAAACCCGCAGTCTCCTTCTAATAAATCAACAGTTGTTCTTCTTCAAAACACTGATAAAAATCACTCATTCACAGGACCAATGCCAAGTGGTGCTTTTCGTTACTGTGATAAAAGCGGGTCAGGCTAACTCAACTTCATTTATATTACAGTGGTAATCTTATAAAATTAATCTCTCCAATCATAAAATGATAATCCTGTATTATTAAACTGATAATTTTACAGTCTTGTAGTGGTAATCTTATTTTGAAGTCAGAACCCTCCTGTTTTAAAGTCGTAATGTTTGATAATGATTCACTTGTGACTTTTCCAGGCAAAAAGCCGCCTAGTTTCTCAACTAAAGTATAAAATCCCTCCATCCATCCATTTTCTATGATGCGGATCTCAAGATCCCGGGAAGCTGGAGCCGAGCCGTTCAATTTTGGGCAAAAGGCAGACCACACCTGGACTGGTTACCAGTTATTCAAAGGGCACATAGACTGACAATCTTTCAAACTTATATTGAAAACTGAAATCAGGGGGGGGGGGTAAATATTTTTTCACTTCATTGTACATGCATCATTTTATTTTGTCTAGCTGAGCTTTTTTCAATCGTACAATTTTTTTGGGGGGGTGTGGGGGGATTCTATGTTTCTCTGCTGTTTGCAGGTCAAAGACAAGATGCTGTATGCTGCCACCCGCGCCACCGTCAAGAAGGAGTTTGGCGGTGGCCATGTGAAGTATGAGATGTTTGGCACACTGGAGGTCAGAGTCCATTTGGTTGGCAGTGGGCAGGAGCAACGTGTGTTTCAAAGGGACTCTAATGTATCTTTTTCCACCCCTCCCCACAGGAGGACGTCTGCCTGTCGGGCTACCAGCGTCATGTGTCGTCGTACTCCACCCCTGCACCGCTCACACTCGCTGAGCAGGAGCTGCAGAGGATCAAGCTCACTGAGGTGATCCAAAAAAAAAAAAAATCCACTCTGTTCTCGTTGGAATAAAATTCACCCACTTCATTTTTGCAGACATTTATATCATACATAATATACGTTGGTGTGTGAATGAAAACATGATCATCATTATTTATTTCAGGAGATACGCTGCAATTTTGGTTTGGTGATATAGTATAATTTTTACAGTACAAAATATGTGACTTGGCTCAATAAAGGTTGGGAAACATTGAGTTAGATATCAGTTTTGGACCAACAGGTGATTATGATCGGAAGGGACGATGTATGTTCTTGGCGAGATCGAGGGAAGCCTTTCTCACAGAATTTGACGTCTGTTCTTTAGTAACCTGATGAAAAAACACATACAGTATTTATTCATCCATGACTAAAAGATGAGATGTGTGATTGCTGCCCCCTGCAGGTGACAGTAGAGAACAGCGTGGAAAGTAAGCAGCAAACCCTTCAAGGCCTGGCCTTCCCGCTGCAGGACACGGCCAGACGAGCCCTCCAGCAACTTGCCCAGAAGCAGATCAATTACATACAGCTGGTCAGCGCCCCACCACAACCACTTAGAACACCAAAATAATTCAAACACTGAATGACCACCTCCACTTTCCCAGAGACTGGATGTGCAGCGAGAGACGATTGAACTGGTTCATTTCCACCACACGGAGACACGGGACTTGCCTTACAGAGTCCCCAAAGACACGCCAAGATATCACTTCTTCCTCTACAAACACTCCCATGAAGGCGACTCCTTCGAATCCGTCGGTACGCCATTATTGAGTCTCATGCTTGATTATGGAATGTCTCCACGTTTGACCCCCCCGCCCCCCTGACAACAGGCCTATATTTAGTCGCAGATGTCAAATGAGATCAGCTGTCGAAAATAGGCCAGATGGACAAGACAAACTTGTAGTAATTTGATTTCGGAGAAATATTTTTCTGCATCACCACAAACAGCACTGTGACCAAGTAGTTGGATCTGGGTTGAAATCTTGGCTCTGGCATGCATCGAAGAGTCGAAATTGTCGATAGATGTGAATGTGCATGTGAATGGTTGTTTATCTATCCACTATGTGGTCTGTGATTGATCCGCAACCGGTCCAGGGTGTACCTTGCTTCTTTAGCCCGAAGTCAGTTAAGCCATGATCCTCATGAGGACAAGCGCTGTACAAAATGGATGAAATGGACAGAAATAAACCACTCGTGACTTCTCTGAATTCATTGTGGGACCTAAATAAGCGGAATCAGCAGATCTAAATCAATATACAGTACAATAAAGAGCTGCCTGTAGCTCGTTCCATGAATCAAGCCACTCATTGGCATCATGTGTCATTGTCTGTCCATTTTAAATACACACATAAAAATGCAAACATCAGCAAAAGAACCTGGAGCAGTTACCACACAATCACGGGGCACAAATAGACAAGTATTCACAGCCACATTCACACTTATGGACAATTTCGAGTCTTTCATGACTCCAAGATGTTCTTGGAATATAAGATGAAACCGGAGTACCTTGAGGAACAAAAAAAAAAAAAAAAAAAAAGAAGCAAGGGGAGAATTTGGAAACTCCACACAAAAATTTATAAATTCTCAGGAGGTCAAATGTGAGACTCAACTGTGGTAATGTGGAAAATTCAATTTTAGATTTTAATAACCTTCCCATGGGGCGGCACGGTGGATGAGCGGTTAGCACGTCCACTCCAGATTGAAGGGTTGCATGCTCCCTGTAGACTAGGAGAAGCTTATCTACAATAGACTTGACTATTTTAATGGTCTTCTTTCCCTCAAAAAAGCCATCAAACAGCTGGAGCTCCGGTTCTGGCCAAAACAAAGAGATCAGAACATAGTTCTCCTGTCCTAAAGGCGCTACACTGGCTCCCCTGTCAGCTGTAGATTTTAAAGTTCTGCTTCTGGTCTATAAATCGCTGTATGGTTTAGGTCCTGACTACATTTAAAAAAAAAAAAAAAAAAGCATTTTTTTTTCACTGTTTGTTCTTTTACAAACTGTCGTAAGCGACTTTTTATTTCTGTCGTTTAAAAAAAAAGTCTTTAGCTGTTTTTCTTTGTAAATACTTTTAAATGTTTTTAATTACGTGAAGCACATTGAGTTGCCTTGTGTATGAAATGCGCTTTCTAGATAAGAAAATAAAGCTGTGTTTGCTTCTTAACCACATTTACAAAATCTATCAGAAAGGTAAAAGTAGGTACGGGAAGTAATGGTCTGAGCGTTTGCGTCAATTAAACTTCTGTCATCCTGTTTGTAGTGTTCATCTACTCCATGCCTGGGTACAGCTGCAGCGTCAAGGAGCGAATGCTCTACTCCAGCTGCAAGAGTCGACTCTTGGAGGAGGTGGAGAGAGATTACCAGCTGCAGGTTGCGAAAAAGGTGAAAGGGAGTTGTACACGGATAGAACATTCAATCGAGCAGCTGTAGGAAAAAAAAAAGTCCTTTGAGGACACTGAGGTCATGTGCGCCGTGTAATTCTTTTCTAGGAATTTGATGCTCAAAGAAACATAACATGCTTTGTATTTTTGCGGAGGATTTTACGGACTCATATAACAAGCGACATAAAATGCAACGTGGCAAATACATTAACATTTTTTCCTCTCTCTAGTTGGAAATCGACGATGGAGGTGTGTTGACGGAGGCGTTTCTGTATGAAGAGTTTCATCCTAAGCAGCACGCGCTCAGGCAGGCCTTTGCCAAGCCACGCGGCCCCGCCGGCAAGAGGGGACACAAGCGCCTCATTAAGGGGCGAGGCGAAGCGGTGCAGGACGGCTAGAAGGCGGACAAAATGTCTCGCTGGGGTGTTTCTCGAGTACTGGCACCTTGTAAAATAACAATCTGACACATCGTCAGGCCCAAAACAAAGATCTCAATGTCCAGTTCTTTGTGCGCATAGGAGACATTTGTGATATAGAGGCTGGTCTCGCTGTATGTATGGTTCAGAATTCTATTGGTGTGTTTAAAAATGTATGAAAAAAAAAACACTCAACATCTTTCTAGTAGCTTTTATTTTCTTACACACAAATGCAATGGGGTCGACTGGTTAGCACGTCGGCCTCACAGTGCAGAGGTGCAGGGTTCGATTCCGGCTCCAGCCTTCCTGTGTGGAGTTTGCATGTTCTCCCTGTCCGTGCCTGCGTGGGTTTTCTCCGGGTACTCCGGTTTCCTCCCACATTCCAAAAACATGCGTGGCAGGTTAATGAAAAGCTCTAAATTGTCCCGAGGTGTGAGTGTGAGCGTGGATGGTTGTTCGTCTCTGTGTGCCCTGCAATTGGCTGGCAACCAGTTCAGGGTGTCCCCTGCCTGCTGCCCGAAGACAGCTGGGATAGGCTCTAGCACGCCCCGCGACCCTTATGAGGGTAAACGGATCAGGAAATGGATGGGATGGATGGACAAATGCAGTGGTAATGTTGCACATTAAAAAAAAAAAAAAAAACAAGAAAAAAAAAGACAGGTTAGCAGGGGTGTGAAGACAATGCAGCATAGTGGCACAAACATCATGAAACTATGTTGGTCCCATTTAAGGCCTATTCGGCATTGACTAGGACATCATTCTGCCGAAAAGGAACCACCATTAAACTTGCTTCCAGACTAACAAAATCAAGTCAAGTCAAGCTTTATTGTCACATATGCACTGTGTGCAACATACAGCACAGGTGAAATTACTTTCCTCTCTCAACCATAGTGCAAACAGTGCAAAAATTAATCCCACGGAGCGGCCAGCCTCATCTCCAGAGCTGAATCCAATGGAGAACTAGCAGGGGGCAATTAACCAAATGCTGCTTCTGAGGTCAAAGCATTAAATGCAGACAATTATGGAAACATCACGATTCAATTCACTTCAATTCATTTCAATGCAACAGAGATGAGAAGCAGCTCTCAGAAATACTAAATATTCGATCAGTGATACACCGAGAAACAAAATATTCAGCAGGTTTTAGTTTATACAGAAAATACGTTTTTAATAGCCGAGTATTAATTTTTTAATCTTTTCAAAACACGCAGCAAAAGATGAATGCTATGAAGTGGCTAACTGGGTCCCCTGATAAAAATCCAATAGACAGCTCGTGGGGGTGACATTAATATTGCGGTTTCTGAAGCCAAACCATGATATGCAGCTGAATTGTGGACTGCCTAATATTCAATTTTCTTCAATTTCTGTAACACAATGAAGCATTTGATTTTTTTTCCAGTATTTAATTTTGAGTAGTTCCCATTGTATTCAGGTGTATGCAAATAAAAACTTTTTTTTTAAAGGATAAGGAGCTTTACTCACTAAAACTAACTGCGATTATTCTGAACACAACTGTACGTGCAAACTAGGACCGGAGTGAGATCAAGCCACTCTGTTTTTTTTTGGTTTTGATTTTTTTCCATTTTGTTGAACTGTATCAGAATAGTTGCTTGTTTACCTTATGTTAGACTTACACAATGAATCTGCAGTGGAGTTTTAAGGACACAATTTTGTACCAGCAATGTTTGTAAGAAACAGAACTAAAATTAAATTCCAAATAAAAATGTTTTGACTGTGACTAAAGATGTTTTCACTCAGCCTGCGGCGGGTAAATCAATTGTCTTAAACTCACAGTATTTACATTCAGAAAACATTTGAAAACAACAGTGCTATGTAGTGATGGTCATAAAGCAAAAAAAAGAGTCAACCACGTTGACAGACGGCACTGGAGTGAATTAATGGCATACAAATGCATTTTTGCAGTGCTGTGGCGTGAGCCCAGGGTGTATGAACGCGTGACCATCAAGCTATTCAAGAGCTCCGAGATGGATTTTCTGTAACTGCGACTGCGGTGTCAGCTGCAATGGTTTCCAATCATAATCTGTCACATTCTTGTATAAAGTACCACTGATAAGAAGTGACTTGAAAAATAGCATTTGGCATCCACCGTCGCTATTACATCACTGCTATCGCTCGAGATCATGAGGATCATTGAACTGGAACGGAATTCCCAGAAGCAACAGAAAAAAGATTGAAGGAAGATAAACATGATTAATTAAAAACCTCCTCTCAGCCAACCCTGAGAGATAAATTAATCTCTTTGGCACCATTTATTACCCTTTTTGATGCGTAAAGCATGGGCTTTTCTTAGTTTTTTTTGTTGTACCACAAAAAGTGCAACCACACCAAGTTCTGAAAAACTATGTTGTGACACAGAGTAAACCATGAAATACAGTAACCCAGCAGCTAGGGTCCCCATTGGGAGTGCCCTACAGCAGTGGTCCCCAAACACTGCTGCGCGGTACTGGGGCAGTGTCATTTGGTCCTGGGCCAAGATCCTTTTTGGTTTGTTTTTGTTTTTACTCAGTCAACCCCACCCACCATCACCACCACCTCACCCACCCCATCGATTACCTTTTAAAGCAGCAGTCCTCAACTTTTTTTGCCCAACGGACCGGTTTAACGTCAAACAATATTTTCAGGGACTGGCCTATAAGGCCAGATAAGTACAACAAATTAATATGATATGACAAGCATGAAAACTTTGGTATTTTCGAAAAATAATAAACATGAATCATGACACAAGGAATGTCCAATCTGGCCGCAACACTCTCTGGTCGCTATGGTAATGTTGAAACGTGTCTTCAAAATACAGTAAGATACACCGCAAATAAAAAGTGCATGAAAAATACGACTCACCATGGCCGCATATTATGCGGCGTGGGCTTAGTGCGTGGAATCTCCCGTTGAGATAAATCCGTATCTTAAGGAGGACTCCTGATACTGTCTCATTAAATATCGCCTTCTTTTTCTTGGAAGTCGTTGGCTTCTGTTTTGTCTCCTGGCTGGGCCTTTTCCCCTTCCCAAAGGAACTTTCCAAAGGCGGTTGTTTTTTTTACTCATTTTGCTAGCTGTTGGATTTCATTTTAGCGGTAACCTTTCACGTGACCGAGAAGCGCCGCCTTCACCTGCATCAAGTGTAACATATTGTAGACGGATGTAACAGAGAATCCGGTAATATTTCAAAATAAAATATATTTCAGATTCCGAAATTAATAAAACGGAAATAATGTAAGGTATTTAGTCTTTCTGTGCGGTCCGGCACCAAGGGACTTCTGTTTTAAAGGACAATATTAATAGGGCCGGTTGATTATATGAGCGAGAATCGTGATATTACGTAACCAGCACGAGCTGTGAGTATATTTATGCCATCAAAATGTGCGCGACTCCAGCTAATCGGAGTCCCCATTCTAACATTGTTTTGCAAATAAACAGAATCCGTCAACTAAATGAAAGAAGAAGCAGTACACAGAACAATAAATTGACGAAATGTACTTCTGCCAGAGGCACAAAGGCCCAGGCAAGTCAGCTCCTTGGAACGCATAAACCCTTCATCCACAATAAGGAGACAGCTCAGGGAAGGGTTTTTCACTTGAAGTTACACCAAATTCCAGATGTAAATTAAGTTTGAATGTTGATGAGTTATTGCAAGTCATGCGTGAACAACAATAGTCTGCTTGTATCAATCTTTGCCTCTTTTATTGACTGTCAAAATGCAGCACGAATTTCATTGGAATCTGTGTTCTGCAGGACCATCACCACGAGCAAGCATTTTAAAACAACAAAGGCATTTGTCAACATTGTCTAGTTTTAGCCAAATTATCACCATGATGAACAACCAACTGTGGACGCCTGGTTACCACATCAGCCTCACAGTGCAGAGGTGCAGAATTTGATTCCGAATCAAACCCTGCACCTTTACGAAAAGTTTTTTATGAAGTACAATATTATTAATAGCAAAGGGGGTGGGGGAGATTTCCATTCATTACAATGGGGAAGCAGGATGATTTCAGTCAACTTTTATTGCAAGACACCACTGAGAATGGAAGGTGTGTATTTGTGATTATTGTATCATAACTTGAACCCGACAAGTTTTGATAAGATACTTCCTGGTTCGTGGAAGCAAGACATTCCAAATAGGTGAAGCATGCCATTTGGATTTGAGATGGACTGCACAATTTGAGCCAGATAGTGTCGGGTCAAATGGCACAAGGTGATTAAAAAAAAAAAAAAAAAAAAGGTTTTCAAACGTCGACATTTCTGAGAAAAACAATTATATCTTTTTTTAAACATGCACAAAACCGTTAAAATTATGTTAGCTTTGCTTTGGGCAAGTCAGAAAGCTCCACCGCTCAGTACAAGTGAGTTTATTGCTGCATGCTGCACACAAACAGACATTCATGAACACAATAGCCATAAACATGACCTCCCCTCCACCCCGCCCACCACCACCACTACCCCTACTTACCAATAGCACCATTTTCCCTTGAAAATACTCGGTACGCACTCACTGTACTGCGTGAATCATTGTCCCGCTTGCCTGTTTGATCTTCCAAACGGATAATCTCCCATGTTCCCAGAATCTGCTCTTGTGTATTCTGAACATGGAAAAAAAATGACACCTCATATTGTGAAGGAAGCAGATTCAATAACAAGACCGTCTCAAAGCGCTTTTGAAAAAAACCCTGCCAAAAAAAAAAAAAAAACGCCTCAGGGGAAGGAGAATTCCTCGGAATAGGCGACGTCCCATACATGAATGTTAATCATCAGGCGAAGCACATTTACGAGGTCAGCTTGACATGCATTTCTTGCCCGGATACTACAATGTATTTACTTTACACTAACTCGGAGAGATTTATGTAACAGCACCAACGCTTTCGAGGCCTTTTTTTTTCTTGTATTCTTACACGAGAAAACATATTTGCTTAACTGCATCCGGATAGACAAAAGTCCACAGGCCTTCTGAGAACAGAGCTCGCTTTAGGATTTCTAGGAAAGGGTTCCCATTCAGCGGTACTGTATCAGAGCACTCCAGTACAAACGGCAATGATGAAGACTCTTAAATAGTTGCATGTGTTGGTGTGAGGCCAATCCACCATATGCGCGTGCGAGGGAATATTTGGAAAAATTTGTGTTCAGGGGAGGATCTCGCCAAGGAAGGCCTTTAAAAATACACAGGTGTTTGGTTGTTTTTAAACTAAAAAGCACTCAACAGGCCTTGAGTTGACTTGTCTATAAACTGTTCAGACGTTTACCGAATCAAAAATATCGTCGATCAACCTCCGATGTGTTGGATTATTATTATGATTTTTGTATAATAATGATTTAAGTGGCCCTCATAAAGCCTTACAACATTTCAACATTTTACTACTCTCTGTTGACATCAAGTGTAAAAAATCAATTCTTACTGATCAACCACCGACTCATTTCAATTTGGAATTTTTTTTTCTTAGCATAATAAAAATATTAGTTTTCCTGTTAAACTATTGCAATCATGAATCATCACGGCTATGTTTTAACATTTGAAGAAACTTTTTTTTTTTTTTTGCTCTCCAAAAGTTTCAGAGCCAAACCGCAGCCCTCATAAAAGCTTCCAGCACACGCACACGTGATCGTTCCATAATGTTCTGCGTGTCTGTGTTTATGTTCCAGAGGAGCTGAACATATGAGTTGTTTGCTCTTTCATCACAAAACTCTCTTGTTTTTAAGGGTACATTATGCATTTTTCCCCCAGGATTTAAAACACTCAGCTGTTTAGCACACACTTAACATCCACTTTGTCAGCCTAAGAGCAAAATTGTAAGTCATTTTTTTTCACCATTCTCTGAAAACAAGAAAAAAACACAAGAAATTTGACAATCAAGAAGAGTTCAGTTGCCTTCAATTTTATTATTGCGGATTACCATGACTTGAAAGTCTGAGAATCTACCCAGAAATAAAGAAAAACAACTTTTTTTTTTTTTTTTTTTTAGCAAGGCACATTGGTCACTTCATTCATATTCTGACAGCAAGTTAAACAATATTTGGGCAAGTAGGCTAACGACTCGTAACATTTTGGCTGAAATCACTCAGTTTTGGGGTTGGGGAGGTCAGTGGCTTCCTTGAATGAGAGAGAACAGCTTCATTTCTGTGAGGCCCATGACGAGTGTGGTTTCAGGGTTGTGATGAATAGCAGCTCCACATAAACAATAAAAGCATGGGCTGCATTTTCCCTCGGGGTAGCAGCACTTCATCCATTCATGTACAGGCCGCTCCCTTATCATGTTCATGCTAACCTGTGGTTACCTCAGCCCGTTGATACAATAGTGTTTCTGTGTGTTTCCGACTGCTCCTTGGAAATGGCGGACCTTCACCCATTCCTAGGGAGTGGCAAAATATCACAAGCCAACAATTTGGAAAAGCTTGCTCACAGACATATTTTCAGAATTAGGCAGCTCACAAAAGACAGAATCGGTTGGGAAATTTCACACTTGATGGTTTAGCAGCAACAATTTCGAGAAAAAAGTCCAGCCGTGCATTTTCGAGTTTGTCCTCATTAGGGTTGCGGCTGACCTCGGGTGAGAGACGGGCTAAAGCCTAGATTAATCACGAGCTAACTGTAGGGTTTTTATCATGGGGTGTCACGAAAAAAAAAACAATTTGGATGGGAAAACCGATTTGATTCATCCCAACTAAATCAAATAATTTTATCGTAAAATATACCGTCCTCGATTCATATCACACCCTATGTATGCATCGCATAGAGATGCATCTCGAATCACGTTTATGACACGTGGGCACCAGGTACAAATCAATATAAATCGGTTTGATGTTGCAGATGATTTGTTGTTTCTTTCAATTTTTAATGAACTCAAATCATTTGAGATTTGCAGAACTTGTAAATGTAGTTACATCATAATAAATATGACCAAAGCTACAGCCAGAGCATATTGGAAAAATCGAATCGTAATCCCAAATGAAATTGCTCCACTTGAAAGTGTACCAATTTCGAATCATGTCATACTCCTTGCATTCGGACACGTATCGAAACGTCTGTTATTGGACAGACGCACACCGCTAGTACATAGACAAACAACCACTCACATACGCATCGGCACGTCTGGAGAAAATATTACACAACTACGAGGAAAACATGCAATCTTTATACAGGGAGGCCGGAGCTGAGATTCCAACCCGGCGCTCTCAATTGTGAGGCAGACGTACTAATCGTTACTAGTTTACGCTGCTGCCACTGGCTCGCTCACAGATAACTTTCTTAAAAGAGGCAAAACACAAAATACTGTCTGGTGTTTTTCCATAAAGCATGTTCACTTTAAATCCGATTTCACCATTTTTTGTTTTTTTTTTTTTTACACAAAAGCAGCTCAACAAAATGCAAGTGGGGTAAGGGGTGAGGTCAGTCAGTGCATGCTCAACCTCGTGTGGCCTCATGGCGTAGCAGTGAACTGAGGACTCACACGTTCCAAAACAAGTGGCCCTGGGCCTTTTAAACCTCTTCTATTTCCTCGTTGGCGCTCACAACAGCGACAGGTTTTCACAAGTGACGTTGCGTCAAATCGGCTGCCAGTGTTCTTCCACTGAGGGAAATCAACACCCAAGCTGTGGATTGTCTGTGCATGTGTGCACGGGGCATAACCACAGCTACAGGAACAGGGCAAGCAATTGCCCAGGACCCCAAGCTGAGCTGAAGGGGGTCCATGAAGGACAGTTGATAATGGTCCATATTAATGGGAATTTACCTCGAAGACTTTTGATGTACTCTGCAGCAAATAATTTACGCATGTCATTATTTAGAAGCATGAGCCTTAATCAAGTGTATGACTAACGTAGCCAGTTGCTTGGTACGCAACTCATCCAAAAACAACACTCTTGATTAATTGCCTTGTCAAATGTAACCAGTGGGCACAAGCTTGCGTGTCATGAAATAATTCACACTCGTTACTGTTCTATTTGAAGGTTAATTGTTTTAATGTGTCACAGCAGCCAGGGTGACACAACAATTCGCTGTAATAAGCTGACACACTTTTGCATAACTGGAACCCTCTCTGTAAATGAGAAGTCATGGTGTATCATAGTGTCCACGGTCACAGTTTCATGAAATAAAATTCACACATATCCAGAAACTTGCTCAACCCACTCATAATACAAGTAGGATAAAGTCTTAACTAAAACGGAACATTTTGCTGGGCTTATTTTAGTAGCTAATGCTACTTTCTTTGCAGTGGCTTTTGTGTATTATCTCATAGTCTACTTCTATCTGCACTGATTTGCTAGCTAACAGTTAATCACAGTGAGTGTCACCAATGGCCGAATCCATTTTGTCATTCAAATCATCATGTAAATGTCGTAATGACACAAAAATCTCTTAATTCTTCACAATTTTAAACGTCCCTATACCACTGAGCGGCGAACAATTGCGAGTGCTTCCAAAGCCAGCGACTGTTGCATTCACATCGGAGTTCCTCTGGATTCCTTCAAGGTCGCAAATGTTTGCCGAGTGGTTGCGAGACGTTCACCTGTACTTTTCTTGTCACAAGGGAATTTTGAACATGTTGAAGATATCCTGTGTAAAATGCACATGCCATCTAGTGGTGAACTAATGGTATGTCTAGTGGGTATCCGAAGCAGAAAGATGACAGTGAAACATGTTAGCCTTGACGCATGTGATATAATTAGTGAGTACTACACCTACGATTATATAAAAAATGGAAGTCGATGTGATAGAACATATAT